AGAGCGTAACACTAACTATGTTGTGCGTGTGTGGCGACGATCCTTCCTAACCACCTGCTGTGCGTATCAGGGCAGCCGTGTCGCGTCGTGGCACGCGCAGAAAGGTTCGCTGGCCCTCTCAGCAACTCACATCAGACGACTGATCAGACTGGACTGTGACTTGATTTTGGAGATGGGGGAGAGTGTGAGGTCGACAGGTCAGCGCATTCACTTCACCGTAAGCCAGCTAACACGTATTAAGCTATAAAGACGCACTAAAATCCGTGGCTTGGGTGATTACCAACTAACGGGATAATTCTGACTGCTTGGTCAGTCCAGTGTGTACTGTGTTGCATAGAGTAGATAACTAGCGGACTGAGAGTCAGGCCACAATGGCTCTTTCTTAATGTGGCTTTCATGGCACTCCCCAAACAGCCGGGGAGTTAAGTCAGGTTTGGCAGCACGCTTAGGGGAGTTCCAGTCGCGCCAGCAACCAGCGGATTCTCCCGCATCCGGTCTTCTTGGCTCTGTCTAGATATCCGGTGGGGGGAGTGGAACTGAGAGAGGTAGATGCAGCAAAGCCTACCCTCACTGTAATCCAGCACAGGCCACCGACCCCGCACTATCCCGTTGTGGAGCACAGAGTGGATCGCATAGAAATTTACGGTCGAACAGTCGGGTGTTCACCTCATATCAAGAGCCTTCTATTTAGTTCAGGTTCTTTGGCCAGCTGCAATGCTGCGGAAATGCCGTGTATGACAGTCTCCTTCTGTTATGCCATGGGTATAAACAATAATAAGTTTTGCTGCTAAAGGACATCCTGAGCGTCGACAAAACGCTTCAACAACAGGAAGCAAACCTTAAACAAACTCAGTCCATATTAGTTATTTTGGGTCCAGAAGAGAATTTGTCATTTATGGTTTTTCGATTGTTCTTTATGCAGTGGTAGATTTAGGCGCGGTCGGTTCAAAGGGCAAGCGCATCTAAACAGATGCTGGTTCGTCGTTCAGCCAACACGGAGGCTACCTGAGCTCTGTCCCGATCGAGGCTGATGAACGCTGTTAACGAAGCACTGTCATCATTAAAAAGCAAAGACAGAAGCCGCTTAAATGTCAAGCATGTCGCCAATCCGAACTAGGTAGGAAACATATGATGATAACACAGATACAAATTAGTATTTGGTGTACACCGATCTGGTCCAGGATTCACCAACCCTGGCTGTTCCGTCTGACACTTCAACTTGGACCCATTGGTTCAGTGGATAAGACGTTCGTCTCAAGCTCTCTGGTCGCGAGTTCGAAACTCGAGTGTAGTGGCAGTTCCTGTGGCTATACTGGAGTTGGGTATGTGCAGCTGACGACAGCTAATAAGCTATAAATACGCGTATTCTTAACCCTTAACGTTTGCCGGTAATACATTGGTAACATACACACATATACTACATAAAAATCAAGAAAAAAAACAAAGTTTTGCATGTATTTTTAAAGCAAATTTTTTAGCCATAGTATAACTTTAGACAATTTCAGATGCTATCGGAAAACATTTGGAAATGGGACATTTTCGTAGATTTTCTTATTGAAAAAAACTAAAAGTATTTCTCTAGAAAAAGGATGTAGATAGTTTTGTAGGAAAGCAGCCTTTGGTTGTACGAAGTGCTGTCACCCATCAACCAGTTTTGGATAACTACCTAACGCGGAAAATACACCGCAATTCGCTTAGTCGTCTACGTAAAGCGTTTTTGCGTCTACTTGTCCTCTTTAGGATATAGCAGCGCCCAGCCTTCCCAGTTGTCGCAGTATGTTGCCGCCCTCTAAGACGCCCCCAAACATTGCGAAAAAGATTCAATGCGTGGCTGTTTGCGCAAAAACCTAAATCGCTGCGCTAACACTTCTGTAGCCGTTGCGACATTCTTGCGCAATTATTGCGATGGCATTGGCGCGACAATATAAATAATTAGCAGAAATGAGTCCTACTGATAATTTGAAAGTAGGTCATTCTTATTAATAATACCTTCCCTAGGACGATCTTTTTCACGAAAGAGTTTGACAAGCCTACCCCTATGGCTTACGCGGGCCCAAAAATATTAATTTAGCAAAAAACAAAAGAGGTTAATATTAACTTTTAGTAACTGTATTATGGGAAGAAGGCTTTCGCCCTTATGATCGCTATTCATATCCAAAAATTGCAAAAGATTTCAACCTTTACAATAGTACATAGTACAAATGTAGGCTTAACATCATCCATAGGCGTGAGCCAGTTGAAAACTGCTGCTACTTGCACTATGTTCATTATATCTGTCATAGTTTCTCAGCAAACGAGAATTAAGTATGGAATTAAAAGTTTCAACAGTATCTGAGAAGATCACATCGTCAGGGAGTCCGTTTCACGCTTCCACGATCCTCAGCGAGAAGGCATTCCGTCGAATGTCCATATGGGCCGGCTTTCTCTGCACTTTAAAGGGATGACCCCGCTGATGAACCGTCGGAGTCAATTTGAAGAATTGGTCAAATTCCAGGGCGCACTCACGGCCTCCGTCAATTCGGTAGGTTTGTATGAGCTAGCGGCGGAATTGCCTGTAATTGAGAGGAAATAGATCAAGCTCAGTCAGTTTCTCTTCATAAGACAGGTGACCGAGATTCTTGACCTTCTTCGTAACCCCGCGCCTGCACTTGTTCGAACTGCAGATAATCCTTCTTGAACCATGGATACCAGGCCAGGACGGCATACTCCAAGTGGGACCGAACAAACGCTCTGTACGTTTTACTGAGGAGCTCCTTTTCGATGTGGACGAATCCCCGCTTGATCGCAAACAGCACCTGTGTCACGAATTTAGCTGCCTTAAGT